TTTGGAAATGTCAGATGTGGAGTTAAAAATATGGATTGCAAGCAAGCTCAGTGGGATTGACAAGAAATCTGAAAACAAACACAAAGAAATCAAAAAAAAATCTGGATACCAATGAAAAATTCCATAATGAGGTAGATATTTTTTTTAAAAAAACCAGAATATCCTTTTTTTCCTTTGTGTAGATGCCCAGTAATAGGAATGCAGGGTCTAATAGTACTTCTACTTTTAGCTGTTTGAGGTATCTCCATATTACTTTCCACATCTGCACTTCAATGTTTATAGCAACGCAATTCATACAGATTACAGATTTAATGTAATTGCCATCAAAATACCAACACCATTTTACACAGAATTAGAAAGACAATCAAAAATTTCATATGGAATCCAGAAAGAGCCCAAACAGCCAAAGAAATCTTATGCGCAAAACAAACAAACAAAAAACCTTGAGCCATAGCAATACTCAACTTCAAATTATACTACAAGGCTATAGCAACCAAAAGAGCATGTTATGCTACCAGCCAGGTTGAATTATCCAGAAAAAATTAAAAATAAATTTAAAAAAACAGCGTGGTACTGGTATAAAAGTGAACACATAGATCACTGGAACAGAGTGGAGAACCCAGAAATGAAACCATACACATACAACCAGCTGACCTTTGACAAAGCAGACAAAAACACAAACTGGGGAAAGGGCATTCCATTCAATACATGGTGCTGGGAAAATTGGAGTGAGTGCGACATGCAGAATGAAGCTGGATGCCTATCTCTCACCATACACATAAATTAAATCGAGATGGATTAAAAACTTAAATGTAAGACCTGACACCATAAAAATTCTAGAAGACCTTAGGAATAACTCTTCTGGACATTGGCCTAGGCAAAGAATTTGTGACTAAGATCCCAAAAGCAAATACCACAAAAGCAAGAATAAATAAATGGGACTTGTGCTAAAAAGCCTCTGCACAGCAAGGAAATAACCAATATAGTAAATAGACAAGGTATAGAAAGTGAAAAAATATTTGCAAACTATGTATCTGACAAAAGACTAATGTCCAGAATTGACAAGGAACTCAAATAAATCAGCAAGAAAAAAACACATAGCCCAGTTAAAAAGTGGGCAAAAGACATGAACAGACATTCTTCAAAAGAAAAGAAACGAGTGGCCAAGAAAGATGAAAAAATGCTCAAAGCAATAATCATCAGGGAAATGTAAATTAAAAGTACAGTGAGATACCACCTTACCCTGTCATAATGGCCATTATTGAAAAGTCAAAAAAACAACAAATGTTGGAATGGATGTGGTGAAAAGGTAATGCTTATATACTCTCGGTGGAAATGTAAATTAGTACAAACTCTATGGTAAACAATAAGGAAATTTCTCAAAGAACCAACAGTTTTAGGTACCCAAAGGGAAATAAGTCATTTTATCAAAAATACACATCCACGCATGTGTTTATCAGAGCACAATTCACAATTGTAAAGGTATGAAATCAATGGAATCAACTTAAGTGTCCAACGACTGAGGCATGGATAAACACAATGTGAGCTATACACACACACACACACACACACACACACACACACATGCACATATATACATACACACACCAAGGAATACCACTCATCCATAAAAAGAATGAAATAATGTATTTTGCAGCACAGCAAATAGAATAGAACTGGAACCCATTATCCTAAGTGAAGTATCTCAGGAGTGCAAATACAAATAACACATACTCATTTTCAAGTGGGAGCTAAGTAATGGGTTTACATGGTCATGCAGAATGGTATAATAGACTCTGGAGACTCAAAGGGGACAGGGGTGAGGGATCAAAAATTATCAATTGGGTACAATTTACACACGTCAGCTGATGGGTACACTAAAATCCCTATCTTCACCACTATACAACTCACCCGGATATCAAAAAAAAAAACAACAACAACAACACTTTTACCCTCTAAATCTATTGAAAAAAAATAAAATTTCACTTTTCGAAAGTGAAAAAAAAAATACACAATAATAATGTATGTATTTTTGCAAGCATAAACACTTAGATAATACCAGCAGTCACATGTATATAACAGTTATGAGCAGATGAACTGGAATTATAAAGAAATAGGTCAGAGCCTGATGAGACCTGAGGCCCTCTCAGGTCCAGAGAGGGCGGGCCACCGGCTCTGCCAGGCATCGGGGGCGGGACCCTGAGAGAGACTGAGGCCTCCCACCACCAATCCCGCTCCACCGCTGCTGTCAGCCCTGGGAAGCCTCTGTGTGGGGGGCGGGATGTGATGTCCACCGACTTGCATCTGGCGGGCTGACAGAGGAGAGGGCCTTGGTCTGAGGTCCGCACTTCGGGACTGCGGACAAGAGACGACCCAGGCTCTCTTAGGAGTCAAGGTGAGATGCTGAGGAGGGACCGAGGGGGCCCCCGCACCAGGTAGAGAGTCCCCAAATAATCCAGCTCCATCCCTATTGTCAGCCATGGACCACACTGGGACAGTGTCCCCAACTTCTTTCTCAGGGGACTCTGGGAGTCAAAGCCTGGTGTGACCCGGCTGAATAAGGTCCATAGCGTTGGGGATCCAGGCTGTGCCACACCCCTATAAGGGGCCCCAGAGTCTATCCTTGTCCCTGCTGTCAGCCCTGGGAAGCCACAGGTATGGGGCCCGGATGTAACATCTACCGACTCGTGTCTCCGGTGCTGACAGAGGCGAGGGCCTTGGTCTGAGGGGCAGACTTCAGATCGATGGAGGAGAGAGGGCTCAACTTCTCTTAGGAGTGAGGTGAGATGACGAGGGTGGACTGAGGGGCCCTCCACCCCAGGTAGAGGGTCCTCAAATAATCCATCTCCTCCTCTGCTGTCAGCCAGGGGAAACCCGGGTGTGGGGGGCTGGATCTGACGTCCATCAACATCCGCCAGGGGGCTGACAGAGACGAGGCCGTTGCGGAGGGGGGAGGGCCCAGGCTCGGTTAGGAGTCAAGGTGAGACGAGAGGGAGGACTGAGGGCCCCATGGAATCACCCTGGCCCTCCTGTGACCCTGGGAGGCCCCAGAACAAATTTCACCGTGAGACGCCTCCCGAATTCAACCTCGGGAATCTGAGGGGAGAGGACGCAAGTCAACAGGCGGTGGGGTACCAGGCCCTGCCAGGGTCAAGGGGAAGACACAGAGGGAGGACAGTGTGTACCTTACAATCCAGGACAGAGGGGGACCTCGGCCCTTCGTAGGGTGGCCACATGTGATGCGTTGTTGTTTCTTCTTTTGGGGTTGCAGGGACGGGAGGGCCTTGGTCCGAGGGAAGTTGTGACCTCAGCGGAGGGAGGAGTCTAGGGTCTGGCAGGAATCACGGGAAGAACACTGGTGAGGATTAAAGGCATGAGGTACCCCCCCACCCCCAGGTAGGGGGCCCGCACGGAGCCTGGCTTCCCTATTTTCCACCCCTGGAGGCCCCCTACAGGGGTGCCATGTGGCATTGCTCTTTTCTGCCAGGCGGTTGAGGGTTGAGAGTCTCAGGGACACGAGCACCTTGGTCTGAGTGGTGAGGCCAGCCAGCAGAGGGAGGAGTTCCAGGATCTGCCAGACCTGAGGTGTGCTACCTGGTGGGGACTGAAGGTACCCCCAACCCAGATAATAGGGACCCCTGAGACTCCAGCTGTCTTGGACCTCATCAGGGACGACCCTAAGTGGCCAGGACACTTCTACCAGGGCAGGAAGTTGGGGAATCCTCAGGGAGATGAGGTCTTGGTCTAAAGGGGGGATGTCTGCCCATGTCAGGCAGGATGAGGTACGGAGGGCAGGCCCCTAGAGGAGCACTTCCAGAGCCCCCACCCCAGAACAGATGGGCCAGCCCCTGTTGTTAGCCCTGGAGACCCGAGGCAGGAATGACGGGATATGGCACCTCCTCACGTTTGTTTCAGAGTTCCCATGGAGGTGAGTAACTTGTTCTGACAGGGTGACATCAGGTCAACGCAGTCAACCCCATCTAGTCAACAGACACAGTGGTCCCAGAATCTGCCGAGAGTAAAAGTGAGGATCCTGAGGGAAGATAGCAGGTACCCCAAGCCCACAACACAGACAGAGCCCCACAGAAATCCACCCCTGCTCTGTTGAGAGAGCCGAAATGCCTGTGCAGGGCTGTCAGGGTCAGGTCCCCTGTCTCATATCTGGATCAATGGTCTCAGGGAGGTGAAGGCCACCCTCTGAACGGGCTGCACTCAGGTCAGCAGAGGCAGGACCCAAGGTCTGCCAGGAGTCAGGGTCAGGACTGAGGGGACCCTACTCACCCAACACAGAAGACCCAGCCCTGCCCTGCCCCTCCTGTCAGCCCAGGAAAGACACAGGGAACAGTGGGTGGGTGGCCTCCCCTCACTTCCTCTTCCGCTGTCTGGTGGAGACAGGGCCTTGGTTTAAGGAGGTGGCCTCAGGTCCACCCTCCCTCCCAGGCTTTGCCAGGCATCAAGGTGAGGACCAAGCAAGCTCCTCCCCTAGGACACATGGAACCCACTCAATCTTACTGTCCTCTCTGGGAGGCCCTGGGCAGATGTGGCCAGATGCCTGGCCCACACACTGCCTTCTGCTCTGTATCAGGAATGTGAGCTCTTATTCTGAGAGTTTTTCAGGACAGCAGAGGGGTCTGGTCTACGGCCCTCTAGGCAAAAGGTGAGGGGCTTGAGTGAGCACAGTAGAGAACTGCACCCGAAGACAGAGGGACCACCATGGCACCCGGCCCGACCCACCCACTGTCAGCCCTAGAGCCTTGCACTCTGTCGGCCTGCTGCTTCCTCCTTCAGGTGTTCAGGGCACAGGCCCACCAGGAGGACAGGAGGCAGGGAAGGAGCCAGAGTATCACCTAAAGAGAAAGCCTATAGGTTGATTTTTGTTAGATCCTCCAGGGTATGGTTCTCCCTGATGCCACTTACATGGTTCTTCTCTCCCCAGGCCTGTGGGTCCCCATTGCCCAGCTCCTGCGCACATTCCTGCTTCCTTCCCAACCAGAGCCATCATGCCTCGCCGCCATCACCACCATCACAGGAGTCAGCGCCACACGGTTCAGGAAGGCCTTTGGGCCCAAAGAGAGGCACAGGGCCTGCTGGGTGCAGAGGCTCCCGGGGCTCAGGAGCGGGGGGTGGCTGCCTCCTCTTCTACTGTGACCCTGGGCACCCTGGAGGAGGTGCCGGCTGCTGTGACACGGAGTCCTCCTGGAAGTCCTCAGGGAGCCTCCTCCTCCCCCACTGGCCTGGCTTCCAATCCAGGGTGCCACTCCAATGAAGGCTCCGGCAACCAAGAAGAGGAGGGGCCAAGCACCTCCCAGGACCCGGCAGACCGCGTGTCTGTGCCGCGAGAGGCACTAGAAGAGAAGATGTCCGATTTGATTCATTCCCTGCTCCTCAAGTATCGAATCAAGGAGCTGATCACCAAGGAAGAAATGCTGGATATTGTCATCAAAGATTACCAAGATCACTTCGCTGAGATCTTCAGAGAAGCCTCCGACTGCATACAGCTGGTCTTTGGAGTCGACGTGAAGGAAGTTGACCCCGTCGGCCAGTCCTAGATCCTTGTCACCTCGGTGGGCCTCACCTACTATGAGGAGCTGAATGATGACCAGCGCTTTCCCAAGGCCGGCCTCCTGATCATTGTCCTGGGCTTGATCTTCTTGGAGGGAGATTGTGCCCCGGAGGAGGTCATCTGGGAAGGGCTGGGTGTGATGGGGGTGCATGCTGGGACGGAGCATGTAATGTACGGGGAACCCCGGAAGCTCGTCACCCAGGATTGGGTGCAGGAAGGGTACCTGGAGTACCGGCAGGTACCCGACAGCGATCCTGCATGTTATGAGTTCCTGTGGGGTCCGAGGGCCCATGCTGAAACCAACAACATGAAAGTCCTTTAGTATGTGGCCAAGGTCAATGGGTGTGATCCCACATCCTTGCCTCTCCTGTATGAAGAAGCTTTGAGAAATGAGAAAGAGGGATTGTGATCAGGAGTTGCAGCCTGGGCCGATGGGGGTCAGAGCCAGTGCACATCCAGGTATCTTTCCAGTAGCTTCTCCTGCCTCATGAGAAATGAGTCGTTCTTTACTCCGTGTTTTAAGAGAGCAGTCAGTGAGTTAAGGCAGTGTAGGGCCTAAGTAGGTTGGGGAAACCACCAGTGCATAACCTTTTTATGCTTCTGTTACATTTGGGTGACTTAGAAATTGATCTTTGTTTTCCCTTTGGAATTTTTCAAATTTTGTTCTTTTTCACAGAAGATTTAATTAGCTTCAGCATCAAAGTTGGTAAATAATACTGACCACACATGTAATTTTACTTATCAAAAGTAAGAGTTTGCTATTTTGTAAAACAAATGGAGAAATCTTCCATTTTATTTTGTTGCTTGGAACAAGGTGGAATTGGTATTTCATTGGAATCGGGATTTTCTTGGAAATATGAAATAACATTGCATTTAAATATATGGAGTTATGAAATTGAAAAATAAAATTTAAAGACAGTTATTTCTTGATTTCTTACCCCATTTAACTGTTCTTATATACAACTAAAATATACGTGTGTATGTGAATGACCTTGGATTATTTGAGAATGTAGTGGAAATTTTAATCTCCATATGTAATATTCTGAAATTAAAAAAGAAATATGTAAATAGGGATTCTCTTGGAAATGTGAAATAACATTGCATTTAAATATATGGAGTTACGAAATAGAAAAATAAAATTAAAAGACAGTTATTTCTTGG